CCACTAGAATCTGTTCTGTTTGAGGGTCAGTTCATAATTGCTCACAGATTTCCTCAAACAACTTGAACTATAAGTCCTCTACTCTTTGTCCTGGGTCTGTGTGTTGGAGTATAACTTTCACACACAGGAAGTGTCCAACTCAGTCTTCACTTCAGGCTTGCCAAGGCCTCAAGATCTGCAAGAGGTGAGAGATCTGTCTAAGCATAAACAAAGCTCTGCACAAAGTGTAGTTTTCTAGACCCAGAGGGATGTATCACACTCATTTTTCTTAATTATGGTACCATTCTTTACAATGTTCTTTTGTGATTTATAAGATCTCCCCCTTCAGATGTTGTCACCACACCCCACCCATCACCCATGTACCCACAGTCCAGCACCATATCCTCTGTGTTCCCTTCTCATTTTGATATCATCCTTGCCCTTTTGCCTCTAATAACCTCAGTTCTATGGTCAGATTTCTAAGATTTGTTATTTGTTTGGTTTTATCTGCCCCTTAGTTTCTTCTTATTTCTTCTTAAGTGACACCATCTGGTATTAGTCTTTCTCCTGACTTATTTTACTTAGCATAATCTCCGCCAGTTCCATCCATGTTGTCACAAATGGCAAGAGTTTTTTTGAAAGTTGAGTAATATTCCATTGTGTATATATGCCACATCGTCCTATTCCACTCATCTGTATTTGGGCACTTAGGTTGTTTCCACAGTTTGGCTACTGTAAATAATGCTGCAGTAATTTGGAGTGCATATTTACCTTTGAAATAGTGTCTTTGTTCTCCACGTAGATACCTAAGAGTGGAATTGCTGGGTCATATGGCAGATCCTGTTGTAATATTCTAAGAAAACTCCATACTGTTTTTTCCATAGGGGCTGGGCCAAGTCTTCATTCCCACCAACAGTCTAAAAGGGTTTCTTTACCTCCATGCCCTTGCCAGCACTGGTTTTTTTGTCTTTTGATATGGGCCATCCTCATAGGTGTCAACTGGTATTTCATTGTGGTTTTCATTTGCATTTCCCTGAATATAAGTGATAGCGTTTTCTCATGTGCCTGTTGGCCCTTTGTATGTCTTTGGAGAAGTGCTCTTCTGCTCATTTTTCGATTTTTGTTGAGTTGTATGAGGTCTTAAAAGATCTTTTATTGGCCCCTCGTTGGATGTATGGTGTGCACCCATTCAAAAGGGTGTCATTTTATTTTAGTGAAACTTTCTTTCGCTGTGCAGTTTTTGTAGTCCCAATTGTTTATACTCTCTTCTTTCGCTTGCTGTTGGAGACAAATCCACAAAAACATTTCTGTAGCTTATATCGTTGAGCAGTTTGTCTGTTTTCTACGTATTTTTTGGTTTCAGGTCTTACATCAAACTGTTTTATCCATTTTGAGTTTTTGTGTGTGTGTATGGTGTGAGATAGTGATCTAGTTTCATTCTTTTGTATGTAGGTGTCCAGTTTTTCCATACACCAGTTATTGAAGATACTTCCTTTCTCCAGTGTATATTCTAGCTCCTTTGTTATAGATTGTCCATATAGATGTGGATTTATTTCTGGGCTCTCAATTATATTCTATTGTTTTGTGTGATTATTTTATCTCTGTATCACACTGTGTTGATTAGTATAGCTATGCAGGATTGTTTGAAGTCTGGGTGTGTGATACATGCCCCCCTTTTGTCAGGATAGCTTTGGATATTCAGGATCTTCCGATGGTCCATATAAATATCGGAAATGTTTATTCTGTTTCTTTGAAAATGCCATAGAAACTTTGACAGAAATGCATTGCATCTGTAGATTACTTTGGATAAGATGGCCATTTTATGAATATTAATTCTTACAATCCATGAGTGGGAATATATTTCCCTTTCTTTGTGTTTTATTTCTTTTGACAGAATCTTATGGTTTTCTTTGCATTAGTCCTTCACCTACTTTGTTAAATTTACTTGTAGGCATTTAAGTCTTTTGATGCAATTTTAAGTGGGATTGTTTTCTTGATTTCTTCCTCTTCCAGTTTGTTGTTTGCATATAGGAAGGTAATTGATATTTGTGTATTGATACTGCAAACTGCCACTTTTTTTTTTAAAGATTTATTTATTTATGCATACAAGAACTGGGTCACAAGCCAGAGGTATGGGGGGTGAGAAGATTCACCAGAGACAGAGTGGGGAACAGAACAGGCGCACCAATTGAAATACTCTGCTGAGGGGAGCAGTGGGTGAGACAGGAGAGGTCTGCCGCACCATGTGGTTAGCACCCTGGCCAGGGATCGAACTTGAGCTGCAGTGGCTGTGGACAGCTTCACAGGCTGCCTCTTAACCCCTTGCGCCATCGGGGAGGCACGCAACCTGCCACTTTGCTGAACTGATTCAGTTAGTTTCTTAGTAGAGTTTGTAGGTTTTTTTTCTTTATGTGTTTTGTATTGTCTGCAAGTACTTGTTTTGCTATTTGGATTCCTTTTATATCTTTCTGTTGTGTAATTGCTCTAGCTAGGATCTCTGTAACTATGTTGAATATTAGTCGTAAAGTGGATATCCTTGTCTTTCACCAGATCTTTTTGGAAAAGTTTGCTTTTTTACCATTGAGAATAATGTTAGCTGTGGGTTTGCCATATGTGGACTTCATTGAGCTGAGCTTTGTTGTCACAGTTTTTTAAAAGCCCCCTGTGGACATGATTCTCCTGATCCTAAAGTTTACGGCTAAGTTCTTGCTTACTCCAACTGGCGGTGCAACCTCAGTAGCTGTAGGGTCAAAAAACTACTGATTCTTTTTCAATAAATTTTCCCATAGAGTGACTCTGAGTGAGAACTCAGACATGACAACATTCTGAAAGTGGGGCTTTTGCAGGGAGCTGTGAGACAGGTTAGTTAAATATAGACAATACTTTAAGAGGAGATATTTTGAAGTGCTCTCAATTAGATATACTTCCTCTGGTGGCTGCAGGGATTCCGGTTTTCAAGCCTGTTATGGAGTGGGGAGTGGACGAGTAGATGGAGTTAAAATACCAAAAAAAAAAAAAAAAAAAAAAACACCCAAAAAACAAAAACCAACCAATTACTGTTCATAGCAAGATTCACATTTCTCTATGCCTTTGTTAAACTTCCAATTTTTTGGCCAATGTTTTTGTTGCTTTTAATGCACCAGCAGAAGAATGGATGTCTTTGTTTCATCATTCTTGTAAGTCCTGGCTCCTTCACCTCTTGCCAATCTCTTTTTCATTTCCTCATTTTTGATGGGAGATGAGCACAAGATGTTCTTCTATTAAAAGAGACAACATCATCCATTTCCATGCTACGAATATGGTGGGAAATGTGAACTGCAGAGCAAATGTGCCAACCAGCAAGGACAGCTATGATTTACCTCTGTTGATAGCCGCTATTCCAGCCAATGGCCCAGAGTTGTCAGGTCTCTCAAGTGATTATAGTATCGGCAGTTCTAGCATTTTGAGATTTCCAAATTTTAAATGGCAATTACTTCAATTAAAAAAAAAATGCTGCACAAAAAAATAACTCACTCACAGCAGAAAACTGGTTTGGAGCAGCTAGAGTCTTATGGATCACATCCCTACTTTGTGAACTTTTCTTACCAAATTAGTGTACGATGTTCAACAAACCTCCTTCAGATTCTATTAGTTCAAGACAATATGCTGTATGCTGCAGAGTTGAAAGTGACTTGCTGCCCCAGGCAAACATTCCCTTCTCTCAGCTATTGTGGTACTTGATGGTCAAGCAGTGGAAGAACATTTTTTTTAGTCACTGCCCTGAATAAAGGGCACCTTTACTCCCAGTTGTTAGTTTTAATTATCCCCAAACAAGATATCCTGAGAGTTGTGCTGAAGAGGCTCATTTTGCAGTCCCTCTGTCTAGGCAATTGTGTATGTGTGGTTTGTAGGCACATGGTGATTTGAAGGTTGGGAAAGGAAAAGAAAGTGAAAGTTGCATAAACCCTTCTGGGGCCAATGGACGGTCAAATTCTGATCTGATGAAAAGCACTGGAAGCAGAATTCCATGGATGCTTCTTTCTTGGTTTATTCATTTACATGGGGGAGCATAACAGAAGTTTCCTGAAAGTGTGCATTAGAGGCAAATTTGAGACCTCAGTTTCTAAAAAGGTCTTCATGAATCTTTGTACCTGATGGCAAATAGGGAGGTAAGAACATCTGTTTCTTTCAAAATCTTGAAATCTTGTTGGTGCTTATTTCCCCCTCCCTGGTAAAACTGAGTTCCACTTTCTTCTTTAGGTTTCCAAAATACTGGTGGCTAATAACTTCTGTTCTTCCAAGTTTTGAAGAGGGTTGTGGCTTAAACAAAAAAATTCTTTCCTGTCAGGAGCATGCAATGTTTGATGTGTTCGACTTGTCATTTTTATTCATAAGGATAGCTATTATTTTTTTATATAAGTAAGAATTATAAGTTACAATTAATTTCTCCCTACAATCTCCTTCCCACCAAAGGTTAAAAAAAAGATAGAAAGGAGGACTAACATAACAATATAAACATAATGCTGAAACCAGGGCTACAGTAGGAACACTTATGTTATTGCTGTTGTTGCTGTTGTTGCCTGACGCCCAGAGAGCAGGGGTCAGAACTGCATGAGTTCAACACGGAGAGGAAGCACCCCCATGCTAGGTAACGGAAGCCGTGGACTCTAGATTTTTGGCAAACAGATAAACTGCTAGGTGTTGGGTACATCATCCACACAGACTCTGACAAAGATTTAAAGCAGCAGTTCATGGGCCTATGTAGCCCACAATCACATTTTAGTTGGTCCAAGTAAGGAAATCTGGATTTTAGCTTCCTTGGAACTGTTGGCACATGATTGTGGCTGGCAACCCTCTAGGGCCTCGAGCAGCAGGAACCTGTGTCATAGAAACAGGCAAACAGCATGCACTCTGCATCCAGCCTGGCCGCTAATGGCCACTGAATTTGTAATTTCTGGGATGTAGTTTAAGTTTTAAAAAAGTAACAACAACAACAACAACAACAACAAAAGCAATTCCTATTCATGATAGAAAAACCCTACTTAAGTCAGAAAGAATTAAAACATTTATTGGGCATAAATATATTACATATACACTACAGATACAGTTAGGTATTACATAGAGCATAGTATTTGCAAAATCTATACATTAAAATTGATATGGCAGTTTTAATACAATGTATATGAAATAGTCTAAAATTTACAATACAGGAAAACATGGTTATTGTTTCTCCTAAAGTTGAAAAGCTTGGAATGTATGTCCAACAGTGAGGTAAAACATTTTGTTTTTCAATTTAAAGAATTGTGCAAGGATAACATTCAAACACATTCAATTAGGGCACTTTTCAATTTTTGACAGGAATACTGAATTACTGTAGCCAACAAAACAAGGTTAGAAAACGCCAACATTTCAAGTTGATAAGAACAAGGCAGATAATATGAAAAAAACTTTTTTAAAAAGTTTTTTTTTAAAAAAAAAAAATTTCTTTGAGGACAAAGAGCAGTTTGCTTCACGACTGGAATTTCTTGACCCAGGGATGAGTTTGACATACAGAGCATCAGAAAGCCACTCACTCATTCCTACATAATGCAAAAAGGCAAAGAGATAAAGTTAATATAACACTTTATTTTATTGTTCGTGTGTAATGGCAATATATATAGTTATATATCAATATCACATATACATATCTGTGATAGAAACAGTGCCAGACAGAGTAATAATTTTTCGACTGAAGGGATATAATGAATACCAAATAATGGAGAGCAATAAAATAAAGTGCCGTCAGCTAGTGTTTCACACACTGTAGCTTTCTGGTGGTTAAACATCTACTACGAAACCTCAAAAGATCGAATATTCATAGCAATTTTGGCCTAAATTATTATTTCATTTAAAAAATTTCAACCAATTTAGAGAATTTCTTTATAGCAGCAGTTAAGAAGTGTTTCAAAAGAGAGACACCACTCCCTCCCGCCCCCCCCAAACAGGGTTCTTGTACTCGGTTGAATGTTCATTGCTAAAAAAAAAAGCCTTTTCTTCCTAAAACATTTGCATGAAACTGTTTCAGAAAAATGCAGATGCAATGCTATAGAGGGTCATAATACACATTTAAATAGAGGAATGAGTTTTGGAAGGTCAGAACTTTGGCAAAAATATATTTACCTTGATGCCACCCATTTGCAAGTCTAATTAAACTAATTATTGTAGTCAATAATAAAATACAGAACTCTCTAGTAGGTACTACATTAATATAGGCACACAGAATAATTCATTGATCTTAGCAGTTTTTTTTAAGAGATGATTATGTTTTTTTGGGTACATGTAAACGTTTCAATCACTGATAATGGATACTTTTTTGGCATTTAATGCACTAGATGCTCTTATCTCTGAAAACATAAGAAAATGTCAGAAGATTGATAATACTACAGATATTGCCAAATAACAAGACTGACCTAAAATTACAAAAGTATAAAGCACAAAAAAAAAAAAATAACATGCTACAAGGGAAAATTAGTACATAAGTACATTTAAAAAATTTTACAATAAATAAAGATTGCACTGTAATTGGCATTTAAAGTACTGTATGCAGAATATAGTATAAATAAACCAAAAACAAAATAATGTTGGTTTCCCCATGACTTTGGTATGGGAATAATATAAGCTAGAACAGGATATTGAATCTTAGACAACATAGGCACAAAATAGCTATGATCAAGAAAAACCAAGTAGCAAAAATATACAAAAACAGAAGCAGGGGGATACACTGTGTCTGTTGCACCCTTTTGGAATATATTTGCACCTCCAACTCTTAAATGTCCCTGAGGTACTTCATATGGACTTCATATAAATAATCCAATGACTTTGGGTTAAAATTGATTATCTCATGACTCAAAATAAACATGCAAGAGTAACACTTTGCACTCCAATAGCACCTGTTGATCAAGGATCTCAAAGCACTTACAAACAATAGAATCCCCATTTTATTTTATTTTATTTTTAATGCATGGGAAAACTGAGGCACAGAGAGGTAAAGTGACGTGTTCAGGTCACGCAGCAAGTTAGTGACAGATCCAGGGAGAGAATCTAGGCTCCTTGACCCCCAAACACCCTGTGCTTACCACCAAATACCATTTCCTCTCCACATATGGCCAGGTCAACCCCACAGAAATAAGGAACTGCAAATTTAGATGACTCTCTTTTGGGTTTACCAGTTTTCATTTGCTGTTAGATTAGTATTATATGCACTGAATTAAGGTATTCAAATTCAATCACTTCATCGATACCTCAAAGAACGGCTTAAAGATCAACCTTTCAAAAACAATGAGCTAACGTGTAAGAAGATTGCTCACAATTAGTGTAAATCATGGACAATGGGCAGAGGCACTAAACTGTCACCAGTTCTTGTCATATAATTCTGGTCAATCATAACAGAATATAATAACTCTAGTGATTAGATTAGAAGTAGTTATATACAAAGACAAACAAACAAGTTAAAGCAGCTTTTAAATAGCTGAACAAGGAAACAACTAACTATTGCACAATGCCCTCTTAAAGTTACTGCTATGAATCCACGTGGTAAAAATCTACAATGCTCCATAATTTATAGGTGCATTTTGGTTACTTGATTTCTTAGAGACAGGTAGCTCATAGTGTTAAAATCATAAGAAGTACAGGCTATTAAAACATTTTAGATTAAAGTACACATTTTTTGATTCAGATGAGCTAAACACAGTTAAATAACTGAGTGACAAAATGGTTTGTTTACGGCAGCTTTATCTGAGTGAACCATCTTCTGCATGTTGTTGCTGTGGCGGCTGTTGTTGTGTGGTAATACTCTGACAATACTGAAATCCTAGCCCTGTCACTACACACTGTGATTCACGTTCACAGACACAGATGATCAGACATAGTAAGTGACTTGGTGAATATAAATTACTAGACTGTAACATGGAAAAAAAAAAATCAAAGGTTTGCAAAAGACATCAGTGAAAATAGAATAAAGGCAAATCTGGAAAATTTCAAGAAAATGTAAGAAAGCTATCATTTGGTATCTCGTTTGCTTTTCTTCTTGTTCTTCCTTTTTTTTTTTTAATCCAGTTTAATCTCTTCCTAGTTTTGCATTTCAAAAAGGTGCACCAAAACACTGATATTTTTTTCCTAGCTAAATCTGTAAAACAAGAGAAGTATATAAATCAAAGAACAAAAGGGCTTAAAAAGGGGGAGTATCTGAATAAATGTGTGTATTAAAATGTGTAGCATTAAATTCATACCTCTAGTTTTGTTGGGTTTGTTTACTTCATTAAGAAGTACTGTAATATAAAGGCAAATAAAATGGACAAAGTTGCAAAGCCAACCACAATGAGGGCTGCAAACTGTTCATCAGTAGGCATCATGTTCTTCATTTTGGGATCATCTAAGCTCCCATTGTCCCTAGAAAGCATGACCTCACTTCGTTGTAATACAAAAGCTGTCGAGGGGCTGAAAGCTCCGCATAGCTCCTGAGAGGTGTCCAGACAGCGCCGGCACGCACACACACGGAACCTGTAGTCTGTGTTGGTCTGGAGGCCTGAGATTTGGAATGTGGCTTCTTCTCCCTTGTACACCTTCAAGAAAGGAAAAATTCTGGTCAATTAATTTATAACAATACTATGATCTTCAAAGTAATGGTATGACACTGAGGAGTTGTTGGTATCCCAACCTTACTCTGAATGAGACGTAAGATTCAGTGATTCTGAGAATGATAGGAAATAAGTCACTGACTAAGCATACATTTGATATTATAAAGATGAATTTAGGCTATAAATCAGGAACTCGAAAACTACCAGTTTACATAGAGATTATTATCCTTTGAATTAACAGGTGTCTCTGAGGGAGGATGGTGGTAGGAGGTCTCACAAGGTTCTTCTATCAAAGTGATGCTAATGTTCAAAAAATTTAAAGGAAATCATACTCAGATTAAAATTACACAGGAATTTATGGTTTATATTAGAGTCAGTGAACAGAGACCAGGAAAAAAATACAGCTGAAACCCCACATTAATAAGAGCCTTTCTATAGGAGTGGCATCGAACTAGCATCTGTAAAGTGCTTAAACCATCTCTGGTACATAGTAATTGCTTAGCAAATATTAACTGTTATTCTTACTTGCAAGAACTTAAAAACAACTCTAAATATATTCTTAAAACACAGACATCAAAAGAGTGACAGGTACGGTCATTTTCAAACAACAGGCCACCTCAGTAGAGCTGCCAATAATACAAATACCCCAGAAAAATAAAGGGAGTATTTCCAACAATCTCAACTTTGTCAGAAACACTCACCAGCTACACAGGATTAGTGACAATCTACAACTGTGTCATGTTTGTAAAGCGCAGTGTGTCACCTTCTACCAAGAAGCAGGGCACGTCAATGGGTGAACACAACTCACACCATCTAGAGTCAAGTAAATTGGAAGACAGCAAAAGGAAAGAACACAGATTTCCAATGTTTGCTCACCTGATAATTAGCTTTCTTTCTTAAAAATTTTCTTCCTTCATTTTCAAACGTTACAAGTACTTTAAGCGTTTTACTTATTGTACTTTAGTGAAGTTTGGTTTTCAGAACAAAACAGTTCCTTTTTTTCTTACTTTTCTGGATTCATCATTACTTTCACTATTTCCTTAGTAAGATGTTAAACAAGTTCTTACAGAGAGTTACAGTTTCCATAAAGACTAAGGCAAGTTCCTGAGCAACAGCTGTTGCAGATAGAATTAGGCTGGATATTAAGAATTAAAGGGCTGTAAGAAAGACCCCCGGGGCCCTGAGAGACTTCTCCTTTCTCTCTGCTCACCATTCCAACACAAAGTTAAATGGGCATTTTATGAAAAGCTCATTGTCATGGTGATGGCCCCAACCCACACAGCCATTCAGGAGTCCAGACTACAGCTGATGGAACAGCCCCTCTAAGAATTTCCCAAGAAGTGGGTGGTCTCAGGAAAACAACAGTGTATACATTTTTTTTCTTTAAAGAGATCTTTTAATTGTGAACACTTTTCTTAATTTAGATTTAATTTCTTAAATTTAAATGTTCACATTAGTATTGAGAGACAAGTCTTCAAAGCTTTGGGATCATTCGTGGAGAGCATGAATGATAGTAGACCAGTTTGATAAAGCAGGTCCCTCCACACTTGCCGTCTAAACTTTGGTTTTTCTATCTGCATGTCCCAGGTATACAACTCATCCCAACTCAGTGGTGGTTATTAATGTTGAGATATTTATTGAGTTAGAAAAGAGCTGTCTCCTAAGTTTTAGCTGTAAGGAATTCTGATAGGCCTCGTTTATGAATTCTTTTGGAGGTTACATCTCTTGAAATGTTTACACTCATGAAAGGGTGAGCTATTACAGTCAGGGGACCTTTTCTTTTTCTCTGTGTAATTCTGGGGAGCCTGGGTCTGATCTGATTTGGCCCATGGGAGGCACTGGATAGATTCTTCTCAAGTACAGGAACTGGAATTAGGATCCCAGGTCTAAGCTTTTGCTCTGCCACTTTTTAAGTTTGTGATCTTGGACAGGTAACAGCTTTGAGCTTTAGTTGCTCATATTCAACATGGAGATAAAGTACCTGACCTAACTCCAAAGGGGAGTGGGGAATTAAAGGAGATAATGTTTTGTGGGGGAAATGTTTTGTGAAAAGAATATACTCAGATAAATCAATTTTATCAAATTTAGTCCTCCTAATTACTGTCCAATAAGTATCATTCCTCTATCAGGTGGGTATTGGATTTTAGAGATGAAGAATAAGAGGATCAAAGAGGCTGTTGATTTTTTTCAGGTCCTGTGGTAAGGGGTGTGGTGTGAGGAGATCCCATTTCTAACTCAAACACACCTTTATGCTCACCACCTGAACTGCCCGGGCTCTGCTGTTCCATTCCCTTTGGCAGAGAGGGATGCCATCACCTTCCACTTACTTAGTCCTCTGACTACAGTGTGACATGGGGCCTAGTGCTCCTGGCCTCTGTCTGTCTCTTCCTACGTAGCTGCACATCTCCCTGCTGTTTGCGTGAAACACTTTCTAGATCACCCTGCCTAGGTCCCATTGACCCAGAAGGAAAGCACTGCCTTTCCCTTAGGCCATATGGAAAGAATTCCCCCGCCCAGTCTGTGCCAAGCAAAGACTTGGGCAGCATTTCTGTGATTGTGGTCTCTTTCTGTCATCAAACAAAAGTCTTAGTGCAGAAAACTACTTAATAACCTATTCCCACAGATATTTTAGAGACTGTTTGCAAGTGTACATATCCATATCTATTGCAAGTGTACATCATGTATATCTATCCTAATGATATGCTTTCCAAAATTTGCATGGCTAATTCCTTTTAAGAAAGTTGGCTCAAAAGTGTAACTTCCAGAAACCCAATTCATGGAATCTTGAATAGACCTTACACAGTAATTTTAATGGCACTTCTCAATGCTAATTGTTATACTAAAGATCTCTGAGAATGTATTTTGAAAGCAACAGAACGCTACCTTTCTCATATAGTTAGACAAAAAGCTTAGTGAAGGAAAAATGAGTATCTAATGCAAGAGAATTTCCTTAATGACAAACCCAATCATAAGTTAGGTTTTAACTTGCAAACCTGTTTTTTTTAGACATTCTTATTGCTTTATTTGGAACAGCTCCCTTCTTTCACAAGCACTGCCAACAGTGTTAACACTATCTTTAAAAAACATATGCTAAACATACTGAATGTGGGGCTGTATTTTATTAATCTTCACATCTCCATGGCAACCAGCACAACAAAATGAACAAAGTAGATGCTCAATGAACAGTCTCTAATAAGAGGACTCAAAGATGCAGGGGAAAGTGCTTTTGTAACACACTATTCGAAAAAAAAGAAAATTATCAGAAATAAGTAAACATGAACATTAAGTACTAGGACATACGTATAAACCACAGAGGCCAACGGAGTTTAATACCAGCACAGCCATCACTGTGAAAAATGGAATCATTAACAAATAATTGTTTTCAGCATATTGACAGAAAATATGGCATTCGAATATATTTAGAAATGGTCACCAGTGGTTTAATAAATCTTTTGGATTAATTCTTAGCTGAGAAAAACAATCAAAACCATCTGAATACCCTATTTATTGAGGATTCTGGTTCCCGACTTGTTTTTGTGTAAATAATCACAATTCCTGGATCACAAAATCACAACACAAGGTCATCAGACCTGCCACACAGTGTGCCTCCACAGCAACTTCTGCTGCACCTGGGCAGCCCTCGCATCGGGGCAGCAGATTGTGCCTCAGGTCCCTTGGTTTTCATTCATTCTGACAGGGGCCACCATTATGGGTTTCCCCTTCTGTCTCAACCCAATTTAAAAGGCATAAAAGGCATAGCTCTATTGAAGATTTGCATTATTGAAGAAATTAATCATAATATCGCAATAAGTATATAAGCAATATTATTTTCACAAACACTATTTGTGATCTTGATTTGATGTACAATATATTTTAAAGTAATTTTGACATGTTTTTTCCAAATGGGGGGATTTAATGTAATATTCAGATAACTGAAGTGAAGTGTCTGTGACCCTTAATTCAAAATAACATGCTGTATTACTTGAAATCTTCTACGCACAGAATCTTTGGGGGAGGATGGCTGGAGGTTTATGCCTGGGCTGACATACCTGCTCCTCTCTAAGGACTGGAAGGGGAGACATAGCAGCAGCGTTGTTATTTACACAATGCTGATGCCCAAAAATCTGTAATATGACACAACTCTGAGAGCAGCCTTAACCCCTTGACTCCCAGAGAAAGAGGAAATCCACTAGCCTGCAGGCCTCCTGCTCCTTGAGTCAAAGGGGGCAGGGTGGGGGCTGTTACCCCAATGCTTCTTGGGGTATCCCTTCCTCATCCCAATGGGTTTATAATCTCTTAGAGTGCTGACCATGCTGTTTTCTCATCTGCCAGGCTTTCCTCACAGTACAAATCAATATCGCAGTAAACTTGGGTCCTATGTCTGGACTCCATGAAATTAAATGTTTCATGTTTCATGTGAAGGTGTAAATGGATGTATGCATGAATATTTTTCCGGTGTAAGTATCATAGATACTTGGAGGGACCTGTATATCTGAAAAATTTAAGAATTGGTAAGATAAAGGACCTTCAAATATCTCCATTTTGATGAATTTTTATTTGCTTTGCATTTGATCCTTTATGAAAAAATAAAAAACTGTACAATGACTAGACACAGCCGAATTGTGTCATTTCTGTTAGAGAAGTGGACTGAAAGTCATTAAAAACTATATTGGCTCCAAGACTTTTTAAAAATAGTTCTGTCGGGCCTCCCCAGTGGCACAAGGGGTTAAGCACCACACTATGAAGCAAGCCTCAGCCTCTGCAGCACGAGTTGGATCCCTGGCCAGCCAAGGAGCAACCCACATGGCGCAGCAGACCTCTCCTGTCTCTTTTACTGCTCCCCTCAGCAGTGTATTTCAGTAGATCTGCCTATTCTGCTCCCCATTCTGTCTCTGGTGAATCCTCTCACCCCCCGCAACTCTGGGGTGCATAAATAAATGCATAAATAAATCTTTATGCATAAATAAATCTTTAAAAAAAATAGTTCTATCAAGAAAATATCTTTCCTCATGATACCGTAAGTGGTACCACGAAGAATCAATATGCATTCCATACTACATAGCAGGTCTTTGAATAATGTTTTATTCAAAATTGTTTTGTTATGTTTACCAGAAAAAAAATAAACCTGGTTTCCCAATATGTTGTTTCATTTAAAGTCATTTTCTAAGAACCTACTGACCATATAAAGGACTTACTGTATTTTAAAGATGGTATTAAATAAAAATATATTTATACAAAGATGCCCTCAAATTAAATGTGGAGTTCAAATTTTCAGATGCTTTAAAGTTTTCCTAATTCAACAAATTTGAGCATCAAAATTAGCAATAATGTGTACATATTTTGTCACACTTTTCTCACCTTCAATGTTTAGATTTAAATTTTTTTTTGTAAAAATTACTGCTGTCTGAACAGGGATATGAATATGAATCTTTTCACTTAACATTATGCATTATTACATCTTGTGCAAAAGCAAAATCAGTCACCTACGGACACATACAATTTTCATTACTTATAGAGAATGCCTTACAATTAATACTGTTTGAAATGAAGTTTTAAGCTTCTTGAAAGAAGCTTGTACTTGGAATGTTTAGGTTATATACTTAGAATGTTATTAACTGGCTGAAAAACCAAATAACATCTGACTACATTCTAATGCAGAATAAAATTTTAGATGAGTACTTAATACTTTAATAGTGTTTCTTAATTAAAACCAGCTGTTCAACCCCTCTCCACCCCCCATTATGAAACAATAGAAAGCTAATAAGCTAGAACAAAGGCAAAGCTAAAGTCAATGTTTCAAGCAAAATATCAGAAAAGCTTTGGTTCTGGGTCCTTGCCTGGGAGTAGGACAGCTTCCTATTATGGGTGATTTTTCTTATTTAGGTCACAAATATCACTTCTAAATCCACCCCATGCTGCAGCTTACTCTTATCACCATTACAAGTGTAAGTAACCCCGTTCCTTTTAAACTTTCTTTTTCATGCATGCAAAAAAATTTACCAAGGGCCCAACTGTGTGCCAGTTCTGGAAAATAAAAATGAAGAAAACAAGCCCACATATTAGTGGATCCTGCCTGGTTAGTGCAGTAATTGAGGTATATGCAGTGCTGCCTACGAGCTGGTAGCTCTGTTGTGATATATGCTCAGCAATGATTAGCCTCTCATTTTCTTTTGCTTTGCTTCAATGAATTCAAAGCCTGTTATCTCTGGACCATAATTATTTTAACTATTACTCTGCACACATAATACAAACAGCTTTCATGTCCCTATCTGGTGTCCAGAACAACTGAATGAAATACTTGAAACATCATGTTTAAATTAATGCGTATTGAATAGACAGAAGCAAAATACTCAGTACAATTTGTCCCTGACTCAACTGTGACTTTTCATGTACCACTACCCGCCATAATCATTTCTTGGTAAACATAGGAAACACATGGTTATGTGAAGAATGCTAATTCTGATCTACCGAGCCTGCTGTGTTTTGTTTTTACATCTATTTTCAAAAAGAAACTCTTGTTTATAACTGTTTACAATAGGAAATATATGAGGCATATATGTGTCTGTGTATTGCATTAGTATTTACATATCCATGGACCAAAGTATTTAACATTGAACAATCACCAAGACTCAAAACAGCCAATCTACCAATAAAATCTAAATTTTGAATGGATTTACCCACATTTTGGAAATGTCTAACATATGTAGGACATTTGTCTAACATATGTCTAACATATGTAATGCTATTTTTCAATGTGAAACAACAATCACTGTGCTTTGATAAGCAGAACATTTTTCTAAGGGTAGGCAGAAAAACATGGTATGTGGAATAAAAGATTTTTAACATGCAATGAACTAATATTGAGAAATGAATTATTGTTGTGTCAGTTGATACAATGTGAAATTTAGTGACATTTCATCTTTAAACCATTTGTACACTGCTAGGGAAGAGGACAAAGCTAAAGATGACAAAATCTGGTGGGGAAAGCCTCTGCTCTCTACTTGAGCTGTGACCCTGAAAACACTCACATCTTTCTGGTAAGATGAAACAACTACACATGTGAAATTATTTACTCTGAAGTGAAGCTACTTTCTTTCATTGGAAAATGAAAGAAAATGGCAGTGTTTTTGCTCTTAAGAGGAATGATGGAAAATCTGGTAATAACATCCACTGATGTTAATCAATACTGGCAGGATGTCTTATTTGTGCTTAAAGTAGCTTACTTCATATTAATAGAGTACAATATCATGGACCTAAGTTTCTTGGATTCTTTTTACACATTTTATTTGTAATTATTCTTTACTATTATAAGGACCATCAACCAACAATTTAACTAAAACTGTGACTAAAATGATGTTTTTATATTATCTGGTGTCTCAAAAGCTGAATAAAGAAGCCTTTATAAATGTTGCCTTATGTTTCAAAATACAGGTGACATGCGCCTTCAACTTTTCAGTTCAATATAAATATAAATGTCTCTACTAAAGGTGCTGACATGAATGGGACTTGATTTTCCTAATGGAATAACTATCCTGATTGGATAGTTAAGTTTCTGGAAACATTAAAGAAACTTATGGAATAATGTATAGGTTTCAGACGTGATAATGGGTGGTTTGGGAAGCATATCAAAAAGGGGAATGAAAATAACGAAACCAAATTGTCTACACCTGGTGATATTTCAATTACATTCTCTCTCACCTGGGTTTACCAGGTGATTCATACAGTCTTGCTATTCAAATTATGGTCTATGGACAAGCAACAGATCTTATACCCTACCCCAGACCCACAGAATCAGAATCCGCATTTTAAAAAATTCCAGGTGATTCTTGTGTATATTAAAGAGTGCCAAGCAGGGACCTAGAGTTTCTGAATCATGGGGGCTCAAGGACTGAGAGGTCAGCTTCCTGATGCATTTGTAAAACTTTTAAATAAAAGGCAGACCAGACATAGGCTTCAGGAGTTAGGCTGAGACTACTTCCTGCTATAGCGAAACCACTGGCACTTTCATTTTCAGTTATAAGGGCTTTGATTATTTGTAAACAACAATGCCAATATCAGGTATAAATAATAGAGCTTAATATACAAGACTATGCTTGAGAACTGAAATTTTAAGATGAATAGCACCATCTACAAAATAAATTCTAAACTATGGATTATGTGTCCTAAAGTAGTAGGTAACAGGTACATATTAGGGCAGTTTCTGTGAGTGATTTAAAGAAAAGAAAATGTAGCTCACTGGTCGCTAAGTCGTTTCGTTCATGGCAGCAGACAGAGGCAAGAGGTCTAAGTCTAATAAGCCACATATGTGCCGTGCACTGGGGTCTTACCTGTTTGTACTCAGATTCTCTTCCAACCAATACCTGCAGAATGTAATTGACAGGGTCGCCTTTCATCGGTGGTACCGTCTCCCATAAAATTTCACATGTATTTCCTTCTAACTGTGTTACTCGAGGGGCTGAAATACAAATCCACATATCCAAGTTCAAAATTCAAAGTATGACATAAACAGTCACTATTTTAGCAGTACCAGTGAGAACCTAGAGAGAGTATTATGCCTCCCTGAGAGAGGAATTTGTCCAGCCTCCTAGAAAAACAGCAGAGCACCCTCTATGCAGAGAAGATACACTTGAGTTGAAAGCATTAGTGAAGAATCTTTTGCTCATTACTCTATTAATTACCGCTGGACTCAGTCACATGTGTGTCATTTTTTCCATGGCTATTGAGCACCTTCTATGATTAGGCTTGCACTAGATACTTGGGGGTGGGGTGTGTGTGTGTGTGTGTGTGCAAAAATGGATACAAAAAATTCTGCTTTGGAGGAAATTAAGATCTAGTTAAGGAGGGGAGAGCTTAGGATGCAATTAGAAAAGGAAACATAACATAAGGCAGATGAAAATGAGAGGAACAAGCCAGAGGTAGGGAGTTCCAGGGACGGCAAAGCCACAAATGTGAGTGTAAGGACAGTGTGAGGAGCAGGTGGCATCTGAGATAAGTCTCACAGAATGAGCAACACAGTCTTTCAAAACTGTTACCTTATATTTATTTTTTAGCTTATTTTTCACCTACTGGAATTGTCATTCTGGTTCAAATGGTAGGCATTTAAAATGTGATAAAATTTTAAGGTATTTTCTCATAGCATATACTTCTCTACAGTTTAAATCAGCATCTGATATTTTTCTATTAAGTATCTAAAACATGTAATTCCTCTCTCTGAATCCCTTTATTCCAAATTTCTAATTACACAATAATTAATTTTTAAAGACAGTTGTGAATACTTGCATTTCTGTACGATCTGTTTCAGAAGAAAGGTTCTCTTCAAAAAAAAGGTTGGAATTAGTTGGTAAAAACTCTAAGTAATTTATGGAAAAACTAAACAAGGAATCTTATCAGACTAAATAGTCCTCTGGCTAAGATAATTTCTTGAGTCCGAATGAGAGGGCAGGGCCTTGCATGAGGAAACAGTCCTTGAACTGCAGGTGCTATCAATTCAATGTTCTGTCTGCCACGAAATGAACGGCCACTAACAATCACCTTGAGAGATGTTAGAGATGGTGCCAGAAAGATCCATGAAACTTGCTAATTGGTAATGTGGCAAATTTCCCTTGTCACAACAAATCTATCAGCCACCTCATATTCAGCACTCTCTTCTATTTTGGTTAAAGGATGACAAGATACCAAGGACTGGAGCGTTTACAGCTCAAGGAACCCAGCAAGGCCTTGTGTGAGAATATCCATTTATAGTAGTTTCTTAGTCACATGAAGAAGAAATTGTCAAAGAGCTTCTGGACTGTTCAAGGGCAGGGAAGTAGAAGGTGTTTACCATAAAGAAGCCTGGGTGGAGCTACGGGAACCTTCACAGAAGCCTAACACCTCTGACCCAGGACTGCAGGTCCCCACTCTCCCATAATTGACTCAGTGTTCTGGTGGCAACTGACTTAGCCCCTCCATGTGGCAGTGGTGCATCACTGGCCTGCTCCTGGGGCCAGACACACATGGGAGCTTATTTACAGATTGTGCTCACTCCCTTACCCTCCCAAACAATAGAGTTCACCCTCACGTTTACCCATGTACAACTTCGCTCAGGTGGGCTGCTTATCTACCCATCAGCCTCGGGGGATTTCAGATGAAGCCACCAGCCATTCCCACCCTGCAAAGACAGGCAGCAAGGACCATCACAGGAGCCATGTTATCAGGAGGAGAAGCGGTCCAAGTTCAGGAACCTCCAAAGGGGCTGGGTTCTAGGCCCAATGCCAGGTGGCTAGGGCTGACTGTTGCTGTTTGCCCAGCTTTCCGAGTCAGCTGTGCAGAAGGCAGAACTGGAAGGAGTAGTATGTGGAATCCATTGAGTCAGTGAAGGAAGAACCCGGACAGTGTACCTTTTGCTCACTTGAGTTGGTGAAAGAACCACCCGGACGGGGCAGACAGTAAACTAGTCACTTAAAAATCTCAACGCAAATACTTGAGGGGATCTGAAGACACTGTTACTGCAGCTTTCCCTAGTGAGAGGTGAGGGTAGGGGGGAAGACAGTGCTGAGGTTGCCTATGTAGGCAGTCATGTGCTAAGCTGTCATAAATCTGTAATACCAGAAATTTACCCTCATTTCAAGCCCATTTCAAGCTTGGGTCTTTTTTTTGTCTATCTATCCTTGGAGGGGATGAGAATGTTTCACTACCAAATTATTGGCAGTAATCATATACACTTACATGAGAGAAGTCACTATTGATAGGCCCTTTAAGGCCTCTCATTTCCCCAGAGAACCCATTTTCTCACCGCCTCTTTTAGACTGTTCTTTTGATTCTATCTTGTGATATTAGAAATATTAGAATACATTCAAGGTTGCAGCTCCCTTGGCGCAAGGGGTTAAGAACCGCACTATGAAGCAATCCGCAGCCTCTGCAGCATGAGTTTGATCCCTGGCCGGCCAGGGAGAACCCTACATGGAGAGCAGACCTCTCCTGTCTCACCTGTTGCTCCCCTCAGCAGTATATTTCAGTCAACCCGCCTGTTCTGTTCCCTACTCTATCTCTGGTGAATCCTCCCCCCCCCCACCTCTGGCTTGTACCCCATAAATAAATAAATCTTAAAAAAAAAAAAAAAGAATACATTCAAGGTTAGATTCAAGCCTCCTACTCTTAAGTCTCAATAAATTTTATAATAAAGTATAGCAGAATACACTGTCTACAAACCTTTGATGGTGGGAGGGACACTCTTGGTTGTGTTGAAAGTGTAGGTTTCTGAGAAGGGACCTTCCCCAGCCTCGCTGGCTGCCTGGATTCTGAAGGAGTAGCATGTGGATTCCGTCAGTCTCTGAACTTTGTAGGTGTGACTGGGTCCTCTGTAGATTGAAACAAACCTACAGGAAGATGATGAATCCATTAAGCTACCTGAAATTTTATTAATGACAAGAAACTATAATGAAGCTAGTGGAGCAGTTTAGACCAATTTGGTAAGTACTTTTTATATAGTCATATTAATATTCAACCAGCTGCTATGTTATGGTTAAGTTTAATGTCTAAGATATATTTAAGAAAAACACCAATTAAAGCAGATATAGTGCTTAGAATGAAACTACCTTTAAATAGTCTAAATTCTAGAAATACCAGTTGTCCATGTCTTTATTAATAAAGACCAGAAATTTCAAATTTTTTGTAATGGTATAGTTTACAGAGTCTGAATGTGTTAATTTACCACCTAGAACTCTGGTTAATTTACTGGTTAATGAAGTAAATGTTAACTGAGCACTAGAGAAATAAAATGAGCTCTTTACTTGAATTTCCCAAATAACCAAGTATTTCCTAGAAAATTAATTTCCGAGCCCCATTCTTAAAATGATACAAAAATGTTAAAAATTATACATTTTTGACAAACTGTGTACAATGAAAATTAAATACTGTGTCCAGAATCATCCAAGTTCATCAAAATAACAGGAAATTAGCACAGGTGAGCATGACAGTTTAGAACGGCAGCTTTTGGATTTGAACCAGGATTATTCGTGCACCTCTCTGCTAATATTTCCATGTGATGTAAGAAGGCATGAAGATAAAAAATAAAGCTTTGCATTTCAAGGACTTTTCCCCATGGTCTTGAAAAATCAATATTTTCACAATGAACTGGATTATAATTAGAATTACAACATAGCTGTCATCATTTTCCTTTTATACTTAACTGTAAATATTTTGGAACTCACTCCCCTTTAGTTATCCAGGATTTTAAGTAGATTCAGGATTTGAACCTTTCTGGCATGAATACATGAGTTAATAATGCAAACACACGGCCTTGTGTGTTTGGTTTGTTGTCCCAGTTCCCAGGTTTTTATCACAGCCTGGAGATGATACGCTGTCTTCAGATACTGAGGAAGTCGGTCAATGATAGAATCATAGTTCAAAATTTCTGACTCTTAGGCCAATTTGGCCTAAGGGATAAGCAGAATTTATGCATTCATTTACCAAACATTTCTTGAACATCTGCTGGGTGTTAGGCTCTGTGTTTAGAGATGAATAAAACCTAACCCCTGTGTGAGCTGCTCCTGCGCGTGGGCAGGGTTTTCTGAAGAACAGTTTCTCAGGATGAATGAATGGAAAGATATAGACTTTTTTTTTTTTTTTTTTACAAAACCCATCAGAATTGATACTTATTTTAAAATATCCAAACTTTCATCAGCTTTTACAATTGAGATGCTAAGTTCTTCATTTCACAAATTTAATATTCCTCTATTTTGGTGTAAAAGGAACACTTTTTACTGAGGGCTGGACATTTTTTTAATTTCAGGGGAAGCCAGAGTCCAGACTGAAACCCACAAGCACCATGGCAACCTATTTAGCGTTCCTGACACATTACCGCCTTAATGAAGATCCCCTTGCTAATGCTAGAGGCAAACAGCTATTTATTAACTCAGCCTTACCTGGGCTACCATGTCTAGCTAGAGTAATTGCCCTTAATTTTACCAAAGAAGTCCTGGTTTAAGAAGCGATAGTGTTAGATTTTCATTACAAACTTGCAATGAAGCCTGGCTTTTAAAGGAGTTTGGAGAGGACTTACTTCAGTTCTGCTTTCCTGTTTTATCATATACTAATGACAGTATTTCTTTTAAAAATAAGTTCAATATGTATTTGTGCCTAGATTTAATTCTATATGTGGGCAGTAGCATTCACAGTCACAAATACATTTACAGAAGCAACTTCAGTACTCTTATTTTTGTAGTGAACAAATAGCATATCAAATTGAATAAATAGCATATCAAAATTTTTTTCTCTTTCCTAAAAATTTTTTATAAAAGACCAAGCTAATTTTAAAATTTATTAATAAGCCAGAGTTTTTAATGATAGAATATGCTAAATGTGCCAGGACAAAATAATTGAAGACTCCATGTTTTAAATGCAACCAAGGATTAGAACTTAGAGCACAGCTTTGTGATGAAGAGGATGACATTTTCCCTCCCCCTTGTATTTAGAGCCCCCGGGATCAGTGCTTGGACCCCACACATGTTCATGCATTCTAAGTGCTGGGGCATGAGTCACAGCCAGAGGCTGAAAAAGGAGTCCTGTTGTCCTGGAGGCCTGATCTGCACTGTATTAGGGTGCACTGTTCTAAGCTGGACGTGGGGCGTGATGGTGTAGTGAGATCCCTGGAAGGAAATGACTGAGAATGAGGGAGTGAAGAAGAACCTGAGCAGCTGAAATGCCTACATAATCAGCAGGAGATGCAAAAACTCTCACGAGACCTCATCCCTCGTTTGATTGCTGAGGACACACTGTGTGGGGAGTTTTTTTTTTCCTTGGTCACTCCTCTGGTCTACTCTACCTGTTGAAGACTGTACCATTTATTATTTATCTCCCTGTTTGCACCCCCACACTCCTGGTGGGAAAACGTGGAGCACAGGGACTTGGACCCAAGAAAACTGAACTTGACTCTCAGCCCTGTGACTCACTGCCAAATTACTCACCCTGCTAAGCTGAAGTTTCTCCCATCTGCAAAACACAGACAGCATCTACTTTATGGGCTGTTTTAAGTGTCAAAAGCAGATGTAACAAAGATAACAACAGAGGAAGTTCCTTACTTCACTCCTAAGAGGAGTAAGTAACAATTAACAGGAGGGATGCTATATCCAGAGTGTCCAGCAGTTCATGGTAAAACTGAAGCACCCCTTGCATTTCAGAAACCAACAAAGACTGAACCAGAGGGTATGCAGAGGAGATTCATGGTTCAGTGTGTGGGAGGTGGGTGCAAAGAAATGTGTGGAGGCTTTAGTCAGGGGCACAGGCAGAGATGACAGGCTACCAACTCTGCCAGGGGCTTTGGGGAAGGGAGAATGGAAATGATGTGGAGGCACACACCTTTCATCTAGGTGAAGCCCACAAGGAGGAGTTAGGGTGCTCCACAATGGTAGGGGCCCAGTTAAGGAGGATAGCAGATAAGATTCTGTAGACTATACTTTCCCTCTCTCACCTGGAGACTAGTACTGATGATGTGACTACATTGACAGAGACAGACTACTGAATCTCAGATCCAAGAAAGGAAAATATTGGCAGTGCTAAAAACACAAGCCAGCTCACAGTAATATTTCCCCCCCAACTTTCATAACATTTGCAATAGTTACTGGGCTACTCAATGCAACGTACCCAACTCTCCTACTTGCCCCCTGCTGCTGATATGGCAACTGCAAATACAGGCTTTCGGACCTACAGAAGGCAGCAGACACCAAAATAAATAAATAAACAAACAAACAAATAAATAAATAGAAATAAAGCTACAGTGCCACCCGCTGGAAAATTAAAAGTAGTTCGACTTTCCAAATTATTAATCCAGATATTAAAACAAAAACAAAACAAGCAAAACAAGGACATTTTAAAAAGCAAAATAGGTAGACAAAAAAATTATGACATATAGCAACTTGAGACTTCAGAGAAATATGACATCACAGGGAGCAAATCATTCTCCCGAATCCAACCACAAAGACATGGAAGATCATATCTCTGTATCAGATAGAAAATTCAAAATTTCAATGATAAACTCAGAGATAGAATGCTCAGAAAGGGAAGTCTAAGCAACAGAAGAGAACCTAGAAAAGCAAATCAAGGAGATACAAAACTCAGAAAAACAAATTGAGTTTAGAAATAAAATTAATGAACAGAAGTTAAAAAACTGAAAGTTTAAATAAGAAAATAACAGATTTTGGAATGCAAAGAACTTAATGAGGTTGATAGCTGGAATAAGCTATGGAAGCAGAATAAATGAAGGAACAAATCACTGCATTGTAGTAAAGTATAAATGATTCAGGTGGAAAAGAAATAACATTGATTAGAAATCAATCAAAAGAAGAAAGAGGGTAAAACCACAAGTTTGTAGAGAATAAATTATATGCTACTGAATAATTATTGGTTCATTAGGAAATAAAAGGTTAAATAAAATACCTAGAGATGAATGAAATTGACTTATCAGAACCTATAAGATGCAGCAAAAGCAGTATTAAGAAGAGTGCTTACAGCAATACCTTCAGCAAGCAAGAATAATCAGCAAAAAATCTAAGCCCACACCTAGATGAACTAGAAAAAGAAGAAAAAGCAAAGCCAAAGTCAGTAGACTGAAGGAAACAGTAAAAATTAGAGATACATTAACAAAATATTTTTAAAAGTCCCCCCCAAAACCCCCCCCAAAACTAAGACCTGGTTCTTTGAAAGAGATTAAGAAAATAGACAAACCTTTGCCAGAATATAAAGGAGAAATTACAACTGCAAAATCAGAAACAAGAGAAGTTACAACAGATGTCAAAGAAATAAAAAGAATCTTACGAGAGTATTATGAACAACTATATTGCAACAAATAGAAATGCACACATTCTTAGAAATATGTAACAGTGCGAGACTGAATTAGGTAGACTCAGACCCATCATGAATGAGGAAATTGAAACAGTAACCAAAAATCCCCAAAACCAAAAGCACAGGACCATATGGCTTCACTAGTGAATTCTAGCAAACTTTCAAAGACTACATGTTCTTCACAAATTCTTCCATAAAATGAAAAGGAAATAAACCTTCCATATTATATGAAGCCATATTTACCTGGGTTCTAAAAGCAGACAAACACATCACAAAAAAAAGAAAACCACAGACCAATATCTTCGATGAATATCGATGTAAAAATCTTCAATAAAGTACTAGCATACTAAATTTTAAAATAATTACAAGAATCATAAACCATAATAAAATGGGATTTATTCCAAGAATGCAAGGATGGTTCAACATCAGCAAACCAATAAACATGATACACACAATAAAAGGAAGGATAAAAATCATATGATCTTCCCAACAGATGCAGAAAAATCATTTGACAAGATTCAACTTTATGATGAAAACT